GAAGACCCGTGCCCCTCCCCTAGATCAGCCGCTGAAATGAAAAGTTTTACAGCTCGACAGGTATTACGAACCTCATCTAAAGATGTTTGTTTTAGCATTTAACGTCTCCCTTTCCATCGCTGCATTTGAGGGAAACTTTTATCTTTGCTGTCTTTCAGAAGGTACATGTATCGTCCTTTCATCCACCATGAAAACATCTTTTTTCTTGTCTTCCCAACACCGATCCCTGTCTGGGTCTTACCACATCGCTTCTCTGTGTTTTCGTTATTGTGTGTCCAGAGCCCTCTCAGCGCTGTTTCTACACTGGTATCTTTTCAAATACCATGGGCCTAATTTACTGCTATAAGTGTAGACAGACTTCCCGCCTTGTTGTTGGGGCTAAGATAAACACAAAGAGCATAGGTCTATATGGTTGTTGTTTTTTGTTTTGGTTATTTTCCACGGGCAATGCAACTTTATCCTTCTTTATCCTTCTTCTTAGCTTTCGTATCGCTGCAGGCATTTAGCGTACTTGGTGCTATCATCTTGTACAGCACTAGCTCAGCTTTCTGTTGCACGAAAAGTGATCTATATATCTTCCTCTTCGGCATCACTGAGCAAATGGACAAGGCGTTCTACTGAATTTCTCGTGATACAGAAAAACGGTGCCAGTGCACGGCATATTCTGGTAACATTGGTGGCTTGTTACATTTACTTGAATAACGGAATTCAAAGCCGGGTTTCCGCCTGAACTATTGGGTCTAACAAAACACACAAAGTAATTATATATGCATAAGTCAAGCGGTAAAAACAATTTATTTCGCTCTGGTTTTCCGAGTCCATTCTGTTTGGTTTAAAAAAAATATATCTAATTTAAGTATCAAGTCTCATTTTTAACACCAGCAGGTGTTTTACTGCTGTTAAAAAGGATTGTTGTTTGTATACCGGTTTCACCATGATAAAGTGGACCAAGTTGATGGGTGAAATTGAACCTGAATTTCCATCTAAATACTATTAAAGCACTTATAGAACCGACTGTCCTCAGTACGTTGTGATGGAGCCGACTGTCCCTTCCATTTTCTCCTTCCCAAATTTCCAAAAAAGGAGATCCCTTTTGTTTTTTACCGGAAACTAGTATCATTTCATTTGACTCAAAATTTACATGAAAATAAAAACGTAACATAGAAGCCTAAACCTGGTTGGAAAAACAGGAGGGAATCTCTTAGATCATTTTAAATTAAAAGAACGAACTTGGTCTGTATAAAAGACGCACGGTAGTTTGGGCATTCAAATTCAAGATTTCCTCACAGTTTGAAGGTGTTCAATAAGATATTGCTAAGTTTAAACTCGATTCTTTTTTTTTTTCATTAATGACACAGGAGGTCATTCCTCAACCGGGAGATTCAACTCACGCCTGGAAAGAATAGTTTACGCTACAGTTTGGACTATTTTAAAGGTAACTACACATTGAAAAATGATTTCGTTCAAGCCAAAGTGGTTTTCAATTGCGCAACACTTTGGGTTTAACTAACAAGAAGAAAGTACGTATAACATTTATTACCAAGAACAAAATGTTGAATTTAACTGACGTCAGAAACCAAACTAGAATTGAAGAGTTTAATTTCTCGTTGACTCTTACCGAACGAAAGACAAATATCACTGTTTCATGGATTAACATTCTTCTTTCCATCACCGCGTTCCTTGGAAATGCTCTGATCATCGCTGTTCTTCCAAAGACGTCATTCCTTCATCCGCCATCAAAACTGCTGCGAGGTTGCCTTGCACGCACCGATCTCTGTGTGGGTCTCGTTGCGCAGCCTCTTTACGTTAACTATCTCTTGTCCTCAAGATGCTCCAAGCATTGCTACTATTCTTTTTAATTCCACATGTACAATTTTTTGTGGAGTTTCTTTGATGACACTGACTGCAATAAGTATGGACAGACTACTTGCCGTATTGTTGGGGTTAAGATACAGACAAGTAATAACCTTGAGGAGAGTATGGGTTTTTGCGGTTACAATTTGGCTTTTCAACATTGCAAATGCCGTAATATTGTATTACATCCCTCTTTATCGCCTTAGCATCTTGTCTGTAGAGGTGATCCTGTGTATAATAGTCTCAGCTTGCTGTTACATGAAAATCTATYGCACACTTCGCCACCACCAAGCTCAAGTACAACAGCATGTTCACCAAGTACAACCGAACGGAGGAGAAATTCCCCTGAATATAACACGATACAGAAGAACAGTGTCCAGTGCGATATGGGTGCAGATATCATTAGTGGCTTGTTATCTTCCCTTTGGTGCAGTGGCAGCTTCATTAGTTATTGACAGACCTCTCCCTTTTACACTACATGCCACATTAACTCTTATTATGTTTAACTCGACCCTGAATCCATTCCTGTACTGTTGGAAGGTGAACGAAATGAAGCAAGCAGTAAAGAACACGATCAGGCAATTGATTTGCTTTTCCTCTTAACTCTATCATGCATGCGAAACCCTGGCACTTTTTGACATCAACTCATTCATCTGTTAAGAAAAAACAAAGTTCTCGGGTGAAGTCGAAAATGTTACTTGTCCTGACTACAAAAGAGGCTAAAGGCTATACTCTGAGGAAAGATAGATGGGGCTAGATATAGACGTAAAGCTGTAACAAAAAATATTTTCCACTAATTTCTTTCAGTTGGTGAGACTCGGCATGGTGTTTGTTAATTACATGAATATTTACAATCCTCCGTATTTACTACTATCATTCACTTTTTCCTAGCGATTCTGTTAATATGGAAGCAGGATAAGATCGTCCATTGTTTGTTTCACTCAGTTGTCAATATCCGTAACAACCCTGAAGTCTATTTTTCTCCCTGGCTAACAAAAAGACGAACACAACTAAACTTATATACACTATTTGCGATTTATTTTAGAAATACCAAATAATTATCTGCCATTACTGTTCTGTTCAAGAGAGTAACGTCCTCTAAATGTAGTCCTTTCAGCAACAACGATTTTTTGGCGCTCACGAAGTTCGATAAAGTAGTACCAGTGCTACGACATGACTACCCCAAACGCTCAGAGAAGTCAACTTACATAGAAACAGTGACTGGTGGATTTTCCTCTGCCATCAGCGAAAGGGAACGAATTGAAATAATTAATTTATGTTACAGTGAGAGCAAAAAGAGAAAAATAGTAGACCCAATTAACATCAGTGAGCTTTTCATTCTTGGAAAATGCGAGAAGCAAGTGGTATCAGCTTTTGATTCTTGCAGAGAAAGTATTATTTACAAGTCGATGCTCATTCTATTCTATTAAACCGTGTTAATCGGTCGATTCCTTTGGATGGCTATTTCCGCAATAGTGTTTTTCTTTTCCTATTTCTCAATGAAGACAACTAGAACAGTGTTAACCAACCTTCGTTATACGACAATACAACAAAATACAGTCTGTATGGGGTCTAAAGAATAATTGAGAATTTTAATTGTCAGATGCGAAATGACGCGTTTTTGTAAAATTTACTGATAGCCGAGAAATGAAACATTGACTATGAGCCCTTTCCATTCGGTGAAATTAAAAGTTCCGAAATTTTCGAAACGGGGCCAAATGCTACGGAAATTTCCAGGGAAAAGTTCCAGCAAATACGGAAATTATTGAATTTCAGAAAAGCGAGCCATTTAACCGAAAATTCCGAAAAAAATCAGGGATGAAAATCAAATGAAGAGGAAATTTCCAGGAAGTAAAATGTTCGAAAATTTCAGTATACCTCACGAGGTTGTCCTCTTTTTCCAGACTTTCAGAGGGTGTGCTTAGCCGTTAAAAAGATTGAAATAAAATCTGTAACATGTTGAATAACTGTATTCGATGCCCGGTTTTCTTAACTATAGGTTCTGGCGGAGCACTGTAAACAGATAGCTGTTAGAAGCTGTAGGTTCTTCACCGCCTTCTGGTTGGTTGGAAAGTATCAATACAAGTTATATGGACTCTCATTTTCCTCGCCAGCAGGTGCTTCATTGCTGTGACATAGGGTTATTATCTGTGTACCAGTCTCATTATGATAAAAATAAATACAGTAAAATGAATTGAGAGATGAAACAGAATCTGGATTTGAATTTTAAGTAGAGCTTCAAATGAATGCTTTGGAAAACAACTTTAAGAAATTTGATTAAAACAGCTAGACTACCAGTGGCGGTCATGTTTGTTTGGCAGTGATAGAGATGACTGTCTTTATGTCATCCAGTAGAGCAATTTTCCTCCCTTCTCGACTTTGCAAAGAAACTATGGCTTGCAAGTATCTTTGCCCGAAACAAATAGGTTTGATTGGACTAAATAATTGCATGAAAATGATAACGCAGGAGATATATCTATTAGTTCAAGGTTCGTTACAAAGGATGCGTTGATGCTTCTTTACGGAAATGGAATCATCAAGCTGACATTTGATGTCATTGGTCTAAAGCCGCATGAGATAGATCCACGGAAATGTCAACGAAAAGGTCTCAACCTAAAGTAATCAGCATCACCAAGGGCCGGGAGTTTGATTTCCTGTTAGTGAAAGTTTATATGCTCTCTACTTAGAGTTTTTTTTTTTTTATCAGAAACTCAGGAACTTGACATTGGCGACATCTTTTTCAGTAATCAAAATAGACGCCATTGGTCAACATATTTGTTCAATTCTTTTTTGCCCACGGAAATGGAACATCAAATTATGACAATTAATCTCACTTCAAGCGACAGGGATCAACTAAAATTTAAACCCTTTCAGGTACTGAAGTTTAATCATAAGCAGCATTTGTGAAATGTTCATATTCATCAAAGTTGAGAAGACTGCATTTTGCCGAAAGAGGCCTCCAGAAGATCAGATAACTTTATTTTGTACCCATCGCTCAGGTAGGCAGTTGAAAAAACATAATGGAAATGTGGTACATTATGAACTGCCATTGCCTGCTACAGCCTGAATTTGTCGGCAAAAAACTTACATGTACATGTTTCAATTCTGTTTAGTTTGCTGTATTCTTCTTAATTTGGAAATATTTCCTTAGCAGCCCGCAAGTTCAGTTGAAGAGCTCTGTTAACTGGATCAAGAAAACAAGGTAACTACAACAATAATGTATGAAGACTAATGTATTTAAGATTTCATCTTCTTGTATGATAATGCTGCACGACGTAGAGTCGCTAAAAACGTCTAGGAGCAGCAAAATACTGTTAGCAAACACGAAGTTTCGGAAGATAAAGTTTTGCATCTTAATCGTAAGGTAACCGTAGACCTTCAGGAGGGGTCTTTTGGAAAATCGTTTCTACTCGTATCACTTTTAACAAAACTATACAAAAATACATATCACCGTAAAGCCAATCAAATGAAGAATCAGAAGAAATAACTATTTTGAAGATTTCAGTTATTGATAAGTGGGCACAAGCCTTCAAACGCAAAACTGACAGTGGTTGCTGAACTCGGTTGCCTGGATTCGTGTTGGCACGTAGATAAAAAACAAGCTCCACCTTCGCAATCGGCAGATGAAGGACTAAAAAAAAGTGCGTGAGGCTTTACCGATATTGCTTTTGGTTAATGAGAAAATATATCTTGAATTAGACGGATATAATATTCTTTGGCCGATCTTGGTGACATAAGATTGCCTAAGAAATGAAGTATTTGAAATATCAAAAACAACACACTTCGGCGCATTGATAAGCGAGGGACATTTTGGCCAATTTTCGTAAAAAGCACCCAAATCTATATACCCTGTTTTATTAATTCAAAAATAAAGCCCGAGTTGTTGTCTCCCAAGGTTTTGCAAGCTTATCACACATTATCAAAAAACTGTCAACGCTGTCATGCTGTCGGCCAATGAAACTCCATCAAGCTTAGAACAAGATAGTTACAATAAAAATAACCCATTGCAATTTGCTGGAAAATATTATTTTACATTCATATTGATTTGCGATGAAGGAAAATTGAGATACAACAGCAAGCTAGGCTCCTGGCACGGGAAAACTGAATAGGAGGAAAAAACTCTATTCAGCGAAAGCGAAAAAAACGTGGAAGAAACGACTGCGAAATACCATCTAAAATCGATCAACCGCCGATCCGATACAAAATGTTGGAATGCTATAAAGTTACTGGGGTAAGCTTTTACTAGAGTATTATACTTATAACCTTTTTTATGGTTCGTGTAGTGTGATCGTCCACGGGAGAAGGCAGTTCTGAAGAGAATTGTTGTTGGAGTCCCCAACAACAGTTCTTTTCAGAACTACCCTCACCCGGACGATCACACTATACGAACCACTGATACTCTTGGGTTCAAACCATTTACTATGTAACTTTTTTTCTATGGCTGGTCGAACAATATGTTTTAGTCGCTAGTGGTGAGTTCCTTCTTGTTGCTTTCATAGAATGGTCCTTTGTCTTTACTCGTTTTCTTCGGCCCGGGTTTCTTACCACATTTTATCCAAGTGATCCTCTGTCTTGTAACCTTTTTTCCAAACGTCTTTTCCAAAATTCACTGATCTGTCTTTGAACGACTCGCAAAAGGAGTTGTAATTAAATCTCAGATAAAAATGGCGATTTTAGCCGATGACAGAAACCACAACAGAATTATAGAAATGTTAAGACATTGTTCTAATTGAAGAATAGTTTGTTGCTCATAGTAAAACTGTTACCTTTTTATCGTCTGACTCCCCACGTTTGATGAATGGTGGTTATTGTTGTCTTCACTTCATGACGTGACACGATAAGTGTTTACGTTACGTGAGAATAAAAGCCACAATCGTGGCAAATTAATCCCACCAGAGTTGATGTCTCCATTCATCAAACTGAGCCCGCCACCATCACCCAATGAGCTGAGAATTACAGCCATTAGTAGTGTGTCTTCTTTCGAGTCGTAACATAAATATATCTAAATATATCTATGTGTCTGAGTTTATGTTCTATTACGTAAGAAGTGAGATGCAAACGCCCAGCTGGGCCGTTCACCACATAAAGACTGCTAAATGTTAGTTGTCTAGGAGAGCTACTTTCTGCACTTAACTATATACTTTCTCTTTTGCAGGAAAGGCAGATAAAATTGTGTCATCTAAAGTAGCAGTCCTCATAAAAGACCCTGAAGATTAGGACATTTCGATAACAGAAAAAAAGGAAACATTATCGCGACAAAACATGATGAACTCCACTGAAGTTGAAAACTGCAAGACAATTCAAAAGCTCTGTTGCTTGGCGAGCCTTAAAGAGCCACATCGAACAATTATTTCTGCATTAAATGTTCTCCTTTCCATCATTGCTTTAATGGGGAATGTTCTGATTTTTGTTGCTCTTCGAAAGGTCTCTTCCCTTCATCCGCCATCAAAACTTCTGTTTGGTTGCCTTGCAGGCACCGATTTCTGCGTAGGCCTAATCTCACAGCCTCTGTTTGTAATTTTTATTTTCGCTCCAGAACTTTCCAAACTGTGCTACTATTCTACCGTACTTACAAATACGATAGGTTTCATTTTCTCCGGGGTATCTTTGTTAACAATAACGGCAATAAGTGTAGACAGACTTCTCGCCCTGATGTTGAGGCTAAGATACAGGCAAGTGGTAACTTTGAGGCGAGTATGGGTCCTTGTGGTCTTTTTTTGGCTTTTTAGCACTGGCTTTTCAATAACAATGCTCTACAAGCGTCGCATAGCTGAAACGATTACCGCCATAATAATGCTATCATGTCTTGTAACCTCGGCATTTTGTTACATGAAGATTTATCTTACCCTTCACTTTCACCAAGCTCAAGTTAAGACTCATACGTCCCAAGGACAACCAAATGAAGCACGAATTCCAATGAATATAGCACGATACAGACAGACCGTGTCCAGTGCTTTGTGGGTACAAATGACTTTACTTGTTTGTTATCTACCATTTGCTGTTGTCACAGGTTTACGTGGTGTGCTTGGGTTACAATCGGCAGCTCTTCACCAAGCTCATGCTGTAACGATTACCCTTCTTTTGTTGAACTCCACGTTGAATCCATTCCTGTACTGTTGGAAAATAAAAGACGTGAGGCGAGGAGTGAAGGACACCATCAAGAAGTTGAACTGTTTTCCGGGATAACTCCCTCGAAATCCTAGACGGTATGGACTAGACTTCAAGTGTGATAAGACATTATTTGCAAGTAACTAAAGAAAGATATTAATGAATTGTAAGCAATTGCAATGTTAGTATAGTAAGTTGTGTAAGTAGATGCCGCCCCCCACTCCAACC